GCGCCCGGCCTTTAATGTCTTTCAAATTGGACTGTCTCTTCTGTACCCCGTTATTCCCTATTTGCAGACAAGACCATATGTCAGTTCTTTGGCCACAGTGAAGGAGAAACTGAGAGACACCAAGAATCTGAGGCAGGTTAAAGGATTTCACTCATTCACTAATCCTGATTAATTACAGTGCCAGGTTTCACCTGTAGTACTTCAGCCTTCTCAAACAGCCTCAGGTTCCAGAGCAAATAGAAATGATGGGCCGATTTGGCTGGGAAGGTAGACAGCCAGTAGGATTAGTTATTGCCCATCCCCTGCAGGTGCAGCCCAGTGCTGTGGGCGAAGAGTTTGTTTCACTCCCTTTTATCATTTCACTCTAGTCAGAAACTGAGGACCATGGTAACATCCAATCACAATCTCCTCTTACCTTTAGACACTAATAGACAAATTTCTCCTCAATTGATATAGAGACATATATGCATATAACATAAGATGATTTTTTGAGCAAAAGCAACTTTTAAGAGGGGACAGTATTACAAATAGAAGGAACTGACTCCTGACAGTTCTTGGCACACCTGACATTAAGAACCATAATCACAGACTGTAAATCTCAACTGTTTCCTTTGAGAAAGGAAAATCTTTAAGACATTGTCAGAAGGACTTAGGCTCATGTAGGGGATCTTCTCTAGTGGGTTCCATGATATCTGTATATGGTCTCAGAAAAGTCTGTTGACATTGACACTTTCTAATACTGTTAGTTCTTCTCGAAGCCATTTGTGTGAAAGTGATTTATGTTCATATCTTATCTTAGCATTAGACTGTGAGCTCCCTGAAGGCAGAATTCAGATATTATTTATTTGTATGTGCTCAGAAACATGCAGAGTTCCTGGCATGTTGCCAGGTTTAGCAAAAAACGAAACAAAACATGTTTGTTGTTTGTCTGAAATTCAAATTTAACTGGGTGTCCTGTATTTTTTCTGGCAAGCCTATTCTTGGCACATAGCTAACCTCAATAAATATTGATGAGTGAGAGGATGAATGAATGACTAGCACAGTACAAACAAATGGAGAAATAAACTCTTAAAAACTTCAATTGACCACATAAAGGACACTCATCTAAATGATGCCTAACAATCACAGAACAACACACTGTCTGGTTAACATTCTACCTTTTAAAATCTGACTGTCTGACTTTGATTGGAGATGCATTTTCTATCCATGCTTTGTCAGCCCCTTTTACTCAGTGTCCACGTGGGAGGAATACTAATCTGGTAATTAACGTGTTTTGTTCCAACAATTTCACATCTTAATTTATACATTTCTGACTTCATATGTTTCTTTAATTGTTTATTAGTGTGTACCAGTTGTACAAGAAAATTGATTTTGGAGGGTATATGGGTTTCAGTCATTCTGAAGTACAGTCATCTCTGTATCTTCCCTTAAAATTGCCAAAATTGTGCTTTTACTACAGCCAAACCCTGGGGTTTTGGGTAAAGTCATTCACTGTGATTATACCATCAGGACCAATTCTGTTTGGAAAAAGGTTTATCTACAGTTAGTTCATTGACAGTTAAGAAAGACAATATACAAACAACTCTCTCATTTCAAATTCTGCTGTTGATCCTTTTTCTCTTAACTTTGTTTTTTTCTGAGCCAGGCTCTGGCTCTGTCATCCAGGGTGGAGTAAGTGGTGCAGTCTTGGCTCACTGCAACCTCTACCTCCTGGGCTCCAGCCATCCTCCCAATTAAATAGTACAGGCACACATCACCACACCCAGCTATTTTTAGTAAAGACCGGGTTTCACCATATTGCTCAGGCTGGTCTTGAACTCCTGAGCTCAAGCCGTCTACCCATCCTGGGATTACAGGTGTAAGCCACCATGCCCAGCCTCCTTTTCTCTTTACCCTTGACTGCCTGCTCCTCTTCCTCCTCCTGCTCCACTTCTGTTCCACTGGTCATAGCGAAGAGTGAGTCAGAGGTACTAGGGGGGCTTATAAAGACACAGATTCCTAGGCCCCACCCCTAGAGTTTACGATTCTGTAGGTCCAGGGTATAGCCTGAGATTCTGCATTTCTAACATATTCTCGGGTGCTGCTGCTGTCACTACTGCTGGTCTCAGTAGCACCCAAGGAATTATTGTCCTATATACTTCTTTTCCTTCCTCTTCTTCCCTTTCCCCTTTTCTTTCAGATCCATATTTCATGTTCCTCACAATACTTTTCTGTTCCCAGAGCAGTAAAATATAATAATCTCGCTCTATCTTGGGCCACTAGATTTGTTATCCTGGTATTCTTTCACCTCTCCTTTGTAAAAGTTAACTTACACTTCCTGCTCAATGTAGCTTAGCATCTGGCTGACATGTGATGCAGAGATCTCCCTATCCACTTTGGCAATATACGTGTAGAGAAATTGGAACATGCTGAAAGGTATCCGGGGTGGCCCACCATCATGGTCACATAAGACCTCACACACTATCTTGAGAGTTTTGGTGATAGTCTATAAAAGTTAGATAAAATGAGGAGAAAGTTACTTTTCCAGGCAATAGTCCTGAGATCTGTTTAGATACAAGAAAGAAAACAAAAATATTGCTCTTATAAAATGGAGTGGGAACAATTTAAGACTCTAGAAAGCTTGAAATTTTTACATTCAAATGTCACTAATTCATTCTAAAAAATATTAAGTATTGCGTGTGTTTATTTTATTCAGAGGTAGGTCTGAGGGTATCTCAGAGGAAGCAGAGAATTGAGGATAGAATCACAGAATGTCAGCGGTAGAAGAACCTCATATAACATTTAATCCCACCTCCCTGTTTTAGAAGGAAAGTAAAAAGATACAATTCACCTCACGGTTTCCCCTCTGCAGTTTGGGAGACAGGTACAGCAGAGGAAATCTAGCATCTACACAGTGGGCTAAGTAGAGGGAGGGTTGGAAATTGACTTTCCAAGTCACTCTTTGTTACTGTGAGGTATGGGGATAAGGGAAGGATTTAGACACATCACTAACTGGTGAGGGCTGTGAAGTAAACCACCAGAGCCAGGGAGCAGATAGGTGAGCCTGACAGAGACTCAAGGAGGCCCTGGACACCACTGAGAACTGAAATGAGCCAGTGGGGGAGGCATCGTCAGGTTTTCACCAATCTGGGAGAGATGAGACCAAACACTTTAGTTGCAAGCAGCTATTGACAGAGAGATGGGCACTGCCATGGAGACCAGAGATGCTAGAGAAGACTGAGGATATGGGAAACCCTTCACTTGACTGTTCTGTGGTCCTAGAGTCACCTCTCTCTGTCTACATTCAGCTGCCAGCTTGGAGAAGAGAGCACGGTGAAGAAAAACCTGAAACACCAGGAAATTTACCTTTAGGCTGTTTCAGTTACTGCATTAGACTAAAATTTCAGGACTAGACTGAATTTATTTATTTTCTTATTTGACCCTTTGTGGGTGAGGTAGACCAAGAAGATCAGAATTAATTACAGATAAAATTTTAAAGGTACATTTCCCCCAAAACGTCTCCAAATGTGGGGTGAAAAAATCTGTAACCCTATGAGAATTTAACAAAATAAATCCACTTTCTTCTCATTTGTGATTTTTCCCAGTCCTGATTGAAAACTCATAGGCCTCTGCTGCTAACTTTCCTTTCCTCCTTGGAGGATAGTGATTTATTCAGTATATAAATGCTATAAAGGACAATGAAGAAAAAAAGAGCCACAAATGTTCTTTTGTTTACTTCTCTCTAAAGAAATGATTATTCTGAAGGCTGTAGGGGAATCTATAGGAAAAGTTGGGCTACAATATTTCCGCTATATTTCTCAGAAACAAAACTGTCAAATATGCATTCCACGCATATTTGAGAAGAACAAGATGATGTTTAGAAATGCTGAATGATTCGAACTACCTTTTCATACCATTTGGTTTTGGCAGAGGCAACTACTCTCTCAAAAAACTTCAAACTTGTATGTGTCTCAGGGATTCTACTAAAAAACCCCATTTTTGATTCATTTTAAGTGATTTTAACAATGTTTAACAATGGAAGTCCACATATAAGATACTCAGGCTTTCAATATCTATACATATAAACTGATTTCAGAATCTTTTGCTTCAGAACAGCAAAATGTCTTTTCCAATACCAAACAAGTCAAATTTGGAAAAGGTGTGAATCCGTATGAACATCCTGCATCCATGGAGACGCCATGACTAAATTCAGAAATAGTCACGTCTCTCCTTTTTTTGTTTTCTTATGCCTGAGTTTTGCATCCAATTCTGTCTATTACACAGTAGCTTTCTATAAGATTGTACCCCTTTTTAAAAGTGTCTATTGATATATATATATTCTAGGTGTCTGGAAGTCTTTTTCTACAGCTGGCTTTTGGTTGTCTCTGGGAATATGAATGGAGGGAGTGGAGTTAAAATAAATCTCAGGGCAATATTCATAAATAATCCAAAGCTACACTATAGTCAGCTCTTCCTAGAGTCTGATGATAGTGTTTCCCTCTCTCTCTCCTCCTCCTAACTCCTGCTTCTGCCTGGGAAGCACTGAAATGACCTTGATTTAGAGAGGAGAAGGACAAGATGAGAAGAGGCATGTTTATCATCAGCTCTGGAGAATAGACACTGTGTACAGATGCACTGCCCTTCCAGGCCCAGAGGGAGATTTCCCTTTCAGGAACAAAAAACCATCAAGCTAACTTACAACTCCCAGAGCACTGGAAGCGAGGGCTAAAAATTTGAGCCACTCAATCTCCTCCGTGAAGCGACCCACGTTCATCACACTATTAAACAGATCTGTTGGAAGATTCAGTGCCTTCCACATCTGGGCCAGCTCATCTGCACGGATGATCAGTCTGCTGGTAACCTGCAGGGCAGGAGACAGACACAACACAGAGGATGTGGGAGAAGTTGAGACAAGACCCTGGGGAACACCCTGCCCCCAGGCCAGGTCCACATCTCCCAATACATGGCAAGGGGCGGGAAGGGGGTGTTAGGAAGGTACAAGATGGCTCTCTGTGGCAGTTATCTTTGCAAATCTCAGTGCTGAAATATAATATATTAATTTTTAAACTTTAGGTGTCAGAATTGTGCAAAAGATACACATTTATATTTTAATTTCTTATGATGCTTTTATCTGCTATCATATTCCTAAATTGTTTTATTCCTTATGTGACAAATAGAACAGTCTGAAAACAAAACCAAGAGGTAGAGTGCTTACCTGAGACCACTAATTAATGGTAAAACCAGAGCAAGACATAGGTCTGTTTCTTCCTCATTGCACTGAGTTCTTAGCTGTAGACCTCAAGTGCATCCCTTGTGCTTTCCCAGGAATGATATGGGGTATGTGGCTGACCCATGGGGATCTGGTCTGGATGCCTTTTGTTGCTTGATCCCGGGTACTTCAGAACTCTGTCATGATCACTGCGCAAGGTACTTGGTGGATAAAGTGCAAGAGGGTGAGTGGTTGCTGTCCACCAGTGCAGCAAGGGCACAGATGCCCAATGACGTGCTCCAACACCTTTCCTGACCCTCTGATTCTAGTGAAATGCTAAGCCTCTAGGACCAAGGAAGTTGGCCAAGCCAGTCCTAAATCACCCAAAGCCTCTCTATCCTGGATCATAAAGCAGGGTATGATGATGCCAACCATATTTCCTGGTAATTGGCCAAACCACAAAGTTTCTCAAGCCGGACCCTCCTCGTGCATCCATTCACCAAGCAGCTCCCGGGATGATGTGGCTGTGAAGAGGCTTACAGCCTCTCCCTAAGAGCTAAAAACTATGTCTGGACCTGGGATAGTTGGGGAGCTAAAATATGCCCTTCCCCAAACTGTGACTGGCATCATATTTTGGTCTTGATCAGGAAGGGAGACACTGCTGAGTGACTGAGGACCTGCACTTTTCTGGAGAGATGGGATTAGCATTGCATTGAACCCCTGTACATTCTGCCAGCTTCAAGGAAATCTGGGATGACCCCCACCAACGACTCAGCCCACAGCCTATTTCAAAATTATCCCCATTTCTCTAAGGGAAGATTTACTTTCAGTCCATGGTTTAGTGCATTTTATGGTGGTTCTAAGTGGTCAGCTGACTGGCAGAAGAACAGTGGGCTTTTGTCTGTACCCACCCAGCCTCAACACTGTCCCTACATTCCCTCAATGCTGCAGCAAGGCCCTTACCCGAGAATGCAGGGTCTTTAACAGCTCAGGTGTTAATTCTGCCCAGTTACACAAACTGACTTGCTCAGACTGCTCTCTCACCGGAGAACTCTCTCCACGGCACACGGCCTCAAAATAACTACAAGAAAAACAGTCAGAGAGTAGGAGGAGCATCCTGTACACCAGTGGCCTCTGGCTGTTCTAGCAATCCTTCCCCCTTTTTCTGAGGGAAGAAGGTAGAGAAGGGAACCGTTGTTAAGTGGCTTCTGTGTGTCAGTGTGTTTAGTTCATTTACATCTGGGAAAAGCCTGAATGTGTTACTTTCCTCTTAGGGCATAGAGAATGCTTTGAGAATACAAAGCTTTGTTCTTCTCTAAGGATGAGGAAGAACCAAAAGTTTGGATATGTAATTATCTGGAGCATATTGGGGTCAAGTTTTTTGTTTTTTTTTTCCAGTCATAACTGAGTGTTTAGTACCCACAGATAGATAATATATTACATATGTACATGTAATCTTGGGAAGAGAAGTTGGAAGAGAACTAAAGTAATGTACATAAGAAAGGGGAAGACAGCACAGGAATGGTGGTGAAGGCCTGTAATCCGGTGACTTTGGAGGCTGAGGCTGGAGGACCACTTGAGCCCAGGAGTTTGAGGCTGCAGCAAACTGTAATTGTGCCACTACACTCCAGCCTGGGTGACACAGTGAGACCTCCACCTGTGAAGAAACAAAAAAGGAGGGAAGGGGAAGAGATGGAAGTGTCCTAGGGGTGAATCTGGAAGGGTTTCTGGCTGGAGATGGTGAGACTCGGGGCTTCAAGAGGGAAGGGAGACAGGGTTGGCAGGGCACTGTGCGAGGCTCAGGAGAGAAGACAAGCCAAAGAAGGTTTGAGATGATCTTAAGTTACGTGGGGCCTGTGAACGAAAACTGTTTATCTTCCCTCAAAATTTTCAGTCAAATCTGCCTGCTCCTCAATATTTTATGGAGTGGACTTTGTTTTGGGGCAATGTGGAACAAGTACGGAGTTCTGTTTCAGCATTGATATAAGATGAAAAGAGGCTGCCTGCAGCAGCGAAACGGACATGAGCCGTTGACATGGGTCACCAGTGCTGTATGGCAGGGCCTGTCTCCATCAAAAGCCTGGTTATTGATGATCCGTGAACCACAAAGTTTTTGTGTTGTAACACATGCCCACCAGAGGACAAGTAAGTACCTGTTCTGACAATGGCTGATCAGAGGTTTCTTTGTTGACAACACATATGTAGGGAATTTCTTACTTGCAATGAATTAAATACATATTTTGTCTGGGAAATACTTTGTAGAAGTTTTATTCTCTAAAATGCTACAGGTTTTAAGAAAATCACATAAAACCATCTGAGAGGTGCTTTTCATGTCTGGATAGAATGGAGCGGCTCTTAGGTCATGCTCTCCTTTTTCATTGTGGTTAAACTACAAAGTTTTCGTGGATGTCTAAAAAATTTATAGCATTGATACAATATGCAAGCAAGGAGGCTACAATAGTGTAATGCCTTCTTACCTCAATGTCAGGGACAATACTAAGCAATGTCATTTTGTTTGCTATAAAACAGCAGCACAAGAACAATGAAATGGATTTGAAACTAATGTATAAGAAAAAGTCTATCTATCTGACTATGCCAAAGTAAATTAGTCTTCTGATGCTAAAGTTCAATCTTAGAGGCAATATATGAAATTTATAAAGGAAAACTAAACAGGGCTCATTACTAGGCAAAGCAGCCCCAGTTATGTTTCTTTTTATGAGCACCACTGACTTGTGTTCCTTGTAATTGCAAAGCTACATCCTAATCTAGCCCAGGAACTCGACAGCACTGGCTCAGAGACTCCGAAAGGCCCCTCTAAGGTGACATTTTGTGTCTTCTCAAAGGTGTCCACACTTTCTCCCTACCATCTGCACAGTGCACTCACTCACAACCTCAGGCTGAGGGCATCTTCGTTTCCCCAACTAACTGGCTTTCTGTCAACAGCCTCCCTTACTCTCCCTTTCCCACTGAAACCCTACTAAGCAAGGAATCATCAAACAGTAAAAACAGCCTGAAAATGGTCTGTGAGGTCTAGTGATCTTCCAACTACTCCCTCAAGTCCTGGTTCCCCAGCTTTAAGCAGGCAAGTTTGTCTAAGAAGCAATTTCACAGCTGAGAGGCTTTCTGTGGAAAGCTGCTTCAAGCCTGGCTGGCAGAGATTGCTGTGTAAGCTCCATCTACTGAGCAGCCTCTGGAGGTCCCTCCTGAAAGAAGGCACCCGTGTTTAGTGTTTGAGGCGCACTGTTTTCAGCCATGCCTGAGGACCACAACTCTCTGCTTGGCCTTTCTCCAAAATGCAGCGTGTACTGTGTAGACATCTTGATGTTGGCAGAACAAGTCAGTTCAGAGAAACACTAAATAACAATAATTTCCTCAAAACAAGTTACAAAGTATCTTTGGTTAGGTCCAAGTATGAGTTTTAACAGCAGAAGAGGCAGTGTCTCTTTAAAGGGGTGAACTAGCTGGACTGGTCCCACTCAATCCACCTAGGGCTGTAGCTTCCCTTCCCAGGCTGCACTGCTGCCATCCAGTGGTGAGAAAACGAAGAAAAAGCAGATGAAGCTTTGGAGATTACAGCTCTTCTTTCCACCGGGACTGGGAAAAGCAGTGCAGGGAGGAGGTGGGTGTGCATATGCTGGTGTCACACGATCATCTAACTCTACTTGCCCCAGGACACGGCCTATTGACCTGGCGTCCTATTTGTCAATCTGGCTCGCTTAGGGGAGGCATCCCATCCTCACCCAGTTAGATGTAGTATCTATGTGTTGATTTTAAAGCATCAAAGCAATGTGAGGGCAAAACCCACAAAGATGATGCTATTTAGTCCCGACCCTGGCTTCAGCCATGACAACCTCCGCGGTTGTCCAGGACCCTTTCTCCTGGCCGGTCCTCTAAGGAGGGGTGAAGGCGAGAAAGGAGCACCTACTCGACCCCAAACTGGAGGAGGTCCTGCGGCTGCGCCAGGATGGCGGCTCTGGCAAACTTCTTCAGCATTTCCGGCAGCTCCGGCGGGATGCATCTTTGCTCATCTGTTTGGGCCATTTTCTTTTATTTGGATGGAAAGGAGGATAAAATAATGATTAATTTTAGACTTTGCAAAGTATTAGAAAACTTATAACGGTAATATAACCACTAAATCTTTAGAGAGGAAAAAATGAATTTTTTTAGAAAACAAAAAACATCAATCAAAAAGAAGGCAAGAAAGGAGCAGAGAAGACATAGGAAAAGTGGACAAATAACACAGTAGGAAATAGTGCGTACATATTGGTAATCACAATAAAAATAAACGGGCTTAAATGTGCCAGTTAAAATATAGGTATAGGTACACCTGAAAAAAAAAAAAACAAAGACACAGAAAGACTCAAGGTAAAAAGGGTTTAAATAAGTAAATAATAACCGATAATACCAGGCAAAAGATGCTTTAAGGCAAAATGCCTTAAACTAATACCAGGCAAAATATACTTTAGGGCAAAATGGACAATTAGGAATAAAGAGGGTCACTACATCATGATGAAAGCTTTAATTGTTAAGACAATAGCAACAGTTCTCAATGAGTAATGCCACAGACATCCCTGTGGTGGAGTCTCACCATGGTAGGTGGAAAAGCAATATATTGTTTATGGTGGCATATGTGTAATATTACAAAAAAGAGTAAGGAATGATAAATACAAATTCAGAATGGTGGTTACCCCTGGTGGAGGAGGGAGAGGGTTGTCATTAGGGAGATACAAGGGTCTTTGGACTATTAGTAATGTTCTATGTTTTAAGCTGGATGGTTGCTGCCTGGATGTTTGTTTTGTTATTTTTATACTTATATTGTGTATTTAGTTTTGTAGGTATGAAATATTTCATAATTTAAAAAGTTACTCTTTTAAGTTGTTTCTGATGACTTTTCACACCATTTTATCTGTCAAAGGGCCGGACTTTATTTGCTCATATTGCCTGCACATATATAAATATATATTCTTTGTGTTAGAAATACATAACATTTGCCATTTTAACTGTATTAAATGTATAATTCAGTGGCATTAAGTACATTCTCATTGTTGTGCAACCATGACCACCATCCACCTCCAGACCTTCTTCATCTTCACCAGCTGAAATTCTGTACCCATTAAATACTAACTCCCAATTCTCCTTCCCCACAGCTCCTGGCAACCACCATTCTTGTAGCTCCGTGAATTTCACTATACTATCATATAGAATCATATGGCATATAGTATTTGTCCTTTTGTATGTGGTTTATTTCACTTAGCACAATGTCTTCAAGGTTCTTCATGTGGTAGCATGTGTCAGGATTTCCTTTTCCTTCTGATCCATCGTCAGATGCGTTATCTATTGCACCCCTGGTCCTGAGCTGAGAATTTCTTTGTTCTTAAGGCTGAATAATATTTTGTTGGATGTATCACATTTTATCCATTCATAAGTCAATGGACATTTGGATCATTTCCACCTTTTAGCTATTGTGAATAATGCTGCTATGAACATAGGTGTACAAATGTGTTCAAGTCCTTGCTTTAAATCGTGTTGGGTATATATACCCAGAAGTGGAATGGATGGATCATATGGTAATTGTATTTTAAGTTTTTGAGGAACTGCCATACTGTTTTCCACAGTGGCTGCACCATTTTCTGTGTCCATGTATTTTGACAGGATCTT